ATCTGGACTCTTCAGCATGTGTAACTCACCTTCTATTGGGATTAGGCTGTTATTTGTACAATGGCAACAACAATGAAAAAAAAAAAAAAGCTAGGTTTGGGTTTCTCATGTATTAGGTGACACATAGACAAACGAAGAGAAGCTAATATTTTCCCAAATTAATTTGCAGTTTAAATGCCAGAAATGGCAGTAGATAAGGCAAGAAGAGAAGAATGGCAACACGAATGTGTCACACAGAGTTTTTTAGTCCTTTCACAAAGATAAATACAAACCTTTAGTTTCTAATTTTGAATCTCTCTTATCTTTTGCCACGGTATGCATTGATATTTAATAGATATTTTTTTTAAAAATTCATGGATTCATATTTGTACCTCTGCATTGGCGTTCAGAACTTTGATTGCTGTGCAGATTCACCAATGGATGCCTATCCTTTTTCTTTTTCAGGGGGAACAGCTTCCAGAAAAAAGGGCTTTTTGGGATGCATTCGATCTCTGCATTTAAATGGGCAGAAACTTGACCTTGAAGAGAGAGCTAAAATGACACCTGGTGTTAAACCTGGATGTCCAGGACATTGCAGCAGTTATGGTAACCTGTGCCATAATGGAGGAAAATGTGTGGAGAAGTATAATGGTTACTCCTGTGATTGTACCAGCTCAGCCTATGAAGGACCTTTCTGCAAGGAAGGTAAGCAGTGAGCTTTATCTTAAGTCCTTAGCAGTCTCTGAAGTAGAGCACAGTTGCACCAATGTCAGCTTGGTGTCCCCTGTGTTACTAAAAGACATTCTGATATAAGCTGTCCCTTCAGCATTACTAAATGTTTACCTTAAGCAGGCTATAATGCCTCCTTTTGTTGACCTCAGTGATGGCCTCAGAAATTAAAATAGTTTTAGTTGTACTATTAGTGTTACCAATTATATCCTCTTATAGTTCCTGTATTTGATTGCATATAACTTGGCCCAGACATTAACAAATAGGGCTGAAATTTTTCATAACATTTATCTGCCCATGTCTGAATGTTTGGTTTGCTTATTTGTAAACCCCATCCAGCTTTGTCCACCTTAGCAAAATCCTGAGAGCTTTTCGTTGCAGAGATTTGGAGCAATGGTGTGACAAGAAGAGGTGATTTTTTTAATTATTTTTTTTTTTTTTGCCATTCCTCTGACAACCTCTGCAAGCTTTAAGAGATTTAAAAATAAGTGTGAAGCATTCAGGAGAAAACTGATTTGTATGGTTCGGTCTCTGGTGAATGTGTCCTCACCAAAACTTTCTGGTGGTGTGTAGATGTTGGCAACACCAGAAAAAAAGACCAGGGCAAATAAAACCCATGGAATTTAAATAGCATGCTCTTTTGGAGAGGAAGGAACTAACAAAACTTATGCTCACTAACAGCAAGCTGCAATGTGAGTGTTTTAATTTTGATGGCTTCCTTTCATCTCACAAACACGACACGTTTACTAAGTGGGTTGCATCATCTGCTGGTGTAAATTGTCTTAGTTGTACTGCAGTCCATGGAGCTATGCTCACGTACATGAGCTGAGGATTTGGCACACGAGGTATAGCAAATAACCACATAGCAACCTGTTAGGAGATACTTACGCAGAGGTGGTGCTACTTCAGTAGAGAAAGTACTTGCAGTCAGTCTGTAGCTGAAGATATTGTCATCCTGTCTTTACTGTGTCTCAGATTAGAAAAAACTGCTATCACATCTGTGTAGTTCATGGCCAGACTATGTTGTGTTTGTTGAAAACACATGCATGAGTTCTCAGGATCTAAGCATGCACAGGTGTTTCTATTCTTCTGGACCTACCAACACAGCTTCCCTTTACTGGCTGTCTTTGGGTCAATGTGTTGTTTTAATAATGGCTTTGTTTAAAAAGGAGACTGGAAAGGAGAAATATATTGTCTTTATTCTGGGAGGAAGACAGAGAATATTGCCTTACTTGTCACCTGTCAGAGAATGGTGAACTGAGCACTTATTTGGCTGACAGACATTTTGGTCTGTTTCATCTTTTGGAAATCTGATTCCATCACTAAAATAGTTAAGTTCAGAGTCCTGTTTCCATACACTGTCCCTCTCTGTGCCAGACAGACTGTAAGGAAGGACACATTGCTCATCCAAATTAAGGAACAATGATGTCAGCTGGGTCAGGGGCATTTTGCAGTATTCTGCTTCTGAAGAAGTTAGCACATGTCCATGCCTGTCTGGGAGATTTGAAAATATGGTTACTGAAATCATTCCTTGTTTATATATGCTTTCAGAGGTTTCTGCATTATTTGAAACTGGCACTTCTGTTACCTATATTTTCCAAGAACCTTATCCTGTCACAAAAAATGCAAGCACCTCAAGCTCTGCCATTTATGCGGATGCTGTCATGTCCAAGGAAAATATTGCATTTAGCTTTCTCACAGCGCATACTCCAAGCCTTCTACTGTACATCAACACCTACTTTCATGACTATTTGGCTGTGATTCTTTCCAAGAATGGTAAGTACTGATTTGCTACCAATATTACTGTGGGGTTTTTTTGTGAGAATAGTGTAGAATTCTGCACTGATTTAGGTTCATTTCTGTGTCTGCAACTTTATCAACTTCATGGTATTCAGTTCAAGCAAATGACCATCATTCTTGTTTATGTCTCTTTATTTGGCATTCAGTGCTACACTTGCCTACTCAGCCTTTGAATAATCATGTTGTTGTGGTTTAAAATATACTTTTATTTTCATTTGGCAAGACTGTACAATAGCAATTTCTTGCTATTTATTCCACACTGAGATCCATTAGACCTCCAATATAAGGAAATGAGAAATATCACAAATGTACAAGAACACTTGGTGCAGCAATATATCACTATTTTATCTGTTATGTTGTGTCTTTGCACATGTATTGCTCTTCAGCGGGTTTTTTCAATGGAATATGGCCAGTACATCTGAATATTAAAGCCAGAAACTGTCAAAGTTTTCTAGGTTCACTGGCCAAAATATGAGGTGTATATCCACCTTTTATTAAAAAGTACATGATATGGGGACCTTTTGGAACCATGAGAAGATTTTAGGGTCATAGGCCCTATGTCTTTTCAGAAAAACTCTGGCTCCAGAGTCCATGCAGTGCTTTCAGAAAACTCACTCTAGACAAACATCATCCTAGACAAATGGGGATGTTTGAATTATTCAACAGTTACCACCCACTGGAACACTGTTAGTGATGACTGGGCATATTGGTGAGTCACTAGCCTGTAGCAGAACAGTAGAAAGTTAATGCTATGTGGTTGAATATGTACATTTGACTGCATGACCCTCACTCTGAAGCCATGCAAATTCCAAAATATCTAAGCTTTCAAGTACCGTTCAAATGGAACCATAAGAAGAGGGGGTGAAAGAAAGGGTTCAGTCTCTGCCTGGGTTTTGCAGTAGTTTATCTCCTGGCTGTGTCATGCAGCTAGCATTTGGGCTGACATGGAATGAATATCCAATGGGATGGGTAGCTGGGACAGTATCAGCCCCAACTCATCTCTTCTAAGTGAAGTCACAGCACAGCAGCAGGACTACTGAGGAAACCCTCTCTCTTCTGTCATCTCTCATCCAATCCCAGATTTCCATCTCTGATTTGGTCTTGAAGCCAAGTGTTTATGGATTTCAGATATATGGATATTCTATTGCACAGCTCCAGGGTGGCAGATGATAGCCTCTGCTGAAGTCAGACCTTGCAATGTGCTTCTCAGTTACACTCTGGTCTCTTCATGCCACTCAGGCAACTGAAAATAGCCCTACAGTGAATATCCATTTAAATCACCTCTTCCGCTGCCAGAGTAGGATAAAATAACACTACAAACAGAAGTCGATTGACTTTTATTGATGAAATACAATGAGAAATGAGCTATAATTGTGCATTCCAGAAGGGGGGGACTTTAACGGTGATTGGGGATGGGGTTGGGATTAGGACACCAGGATCTCTTGTAACAATTCAGCAG